TTCTTCTTTTAAAATTGTAAATTTAGTCTTACTTTTAATAAATTTAAGGTTCACCAAACATATCCTTTTGTTGCTGTATTCATAATGCCACCTATCAGAGCAACAAAGTTGAGATAAAATTGCATTATTGGTCCTCACAATATTAATTAGAATAGCAATGTAGCTCACAATCTTTGAAGGAAGCGACTCGACATCAATTTGTCATCATAGTTGCATAATCAGTTTTCGTTAATGGGAAACCTTTCAAATATCTACTAAATCGTTATGTGGCCTATGTATGTCTAATTATCTGAAACTACGTTTATCTGCAAACTTATGGTGCTTTCATGTTTAGAAATTTAATGTGATGCATATTTCTATTGGGTTGTGACAATTCTATAAAATTGGACAGTCTATCATTTGAGATTAATTTCTCGACTACAATATAAGGTTACAGATCAAAAAGGTTGAGAATCAGCTTGCTACCAAACTAATAGATAAAGAATGAACAATACAATTTTTCTAAAAAGTGAAATATTTATTAGGGGGTTATGGGGGGGATTTGATTAAAATGCTTAGTCAAGCAAATTTTTTTGTTAAATAGCCTCCACTTAATGTTAAAAATTCTAAAGACCTATAATCCTAATTACCCTTTGAGGAAATGATACAAAATCAAAATTTTAAAGATTCAATTTCAAAAAACTGATTAAACGTTTAACTTTTCAAAAATCATACATTTTATTTTAAATATTAAATATTAATTGTACAATTTTAATTCTAAACCCTAATCAATTTCATTTTAATTTTCCTCCTCCTTTTTTCTCTCTTCTCACTATCTCTACCTTCTCTCATCTCCGTCACTCTCTCTTCTCCACTCTCCGATCTTCTCGCTCTCCATCGACAGTCAGCCTCAACAAGACGGCCTCATCCGGCAACGTTGTGCTCAAACACGAAGTAATGAAGCTTATTCGTGCGAATCGCCACTGCGTTTTTTTTATTTCTGAGTTTTTGCAATTTTTGCCGAGGAGTCATGATTTTGTGGTGGTTGATGGACGTTGTGGAGTCGAAATGCTGTTGCGGTAGCAGTGACGATGAGGTGGTGGTAGGCTATGTTGACCTATGATTTAATATAGCTTCATTTGTTTTGATTATAACAAGCAATACACTTATGTCTCTAACAAGTTTTGTTTCTTGAGTTTTTTCATGAATATATCTTTTAAGCATTCAAAAACTCAAATCTTCATCCGTTGAAGAACAA